CATCAGTAGAACAAAAAGACATCCCACAGTATGGAAGAATATATTCATAAATGACAGATCCAATAAAGGGTTGACATCCAAAATATATAAAGAGCTCATGCACCTCAACAAGAAAAAAGCAAATAATCCAATTAAAAAATGGGCACAGGATCTGAACAGACACTTCTTCAAAGAAGAAATTCAGATGACCAACAGGCACATGAAAATATGCTCCACACCACTAATCATCACAGAAATGCAAATTACAACCACAATGAGATATCACCTCACAGCAGTTAGGATGGCCAACATCCAAAAGACAAACAACAAATGTTGGCAAGGATGTGGAGAAAGGGGAACCCTCCTACACTGCTGGTGGGAGTGTAAACTGGTTCCACCATTGTGGAAAGCAGTATGGAGGTTCCTCAAAAAACTCAAAATAGAAATACCATTTGACCCAGGAATTCCACTCTTAGGAATTTACCCTAAGAATGCACAGCCCAGTTTGAAAAAGACAGATGCACTCCAGTGTTTGTCGCAGCACTATCTACAATAGCCAAGAAATGGAAGCAACCCTAAGTGTCCATTAGTAGATGAATGGATAAAGAAGATGTGGTACATATATACAATGGAATATTATTCAGCCATAAGAAGAAAACAAATCCTACAATTTGCAACAACATGGATGGAGCTAGAGGGTATTATGCTCAGTGAAATAAGCCAGGCGGAGAAAGAGAAGTATCAAATGATTTCACTCATCTGTGGAGCATAACAACAAAGAAAAAACTGAAGGAACAAAACAGCAGCAGACTCACAGAATCCAAGAATGGACTATCAGTTACCAAAGGGAAAGGGACTGGGGAGGATGGGTGGCAAGGGAGGGATAAGGGGGAAAACGGGACATTATGATTATCACACATAACATAGGGAGGTGGGGACATGGGGAAGGCAGTATATACAGAGAAGACAAGGAAAGATTTTATTGCATCTTACTACACTGATGGACAGTGACTATAATGGGGTATGTGGGGGGAACTTGATAATAGGGGGAGTCTAGTAAACATAATGTTGTTCAAGTAATAGTACATTAATGATATCAAAATAAAAAAAAAAGATCATCCATTATGATCAAGTAGGATTTATTCTAGGGATGCAGGGATGGTATAATATTCGAAAATCCATCAGCATCATCCACCACATTAACATAAAGATGGACAAAAACCACATGATCATCTCCACAGATGCTGAAAATTATACTGAACAGCGAGAAACTGAAAGCTTTTCCTTTAAGATCAGGAACAAGACAAGGACGCCCAATCTCCACATTTTTATTCAACATCGTTCTGGAGGTCCTAGCCTTGGCAATCAGACAAAACAAAGAAATAAAAGGCATCTGAATTGGCAAGGAAGAAGTGAAACTGTCCCTGTTTGCAAATGATACGATATTGTACATAAAAAACCCTAAAGAATCCACTCCAAAACTACTAGATCTAATATCTGAATTCAGCAAAGGTGCAGGATACAAAATTAATACACAGAAATCTGTTGTAAGAGAAATCAGGAAAACAATTCCATTCACAATTGTAGCAAAACAAATAAAATACCTAGGAATAAGCCTAACCAAGCAGATGAAAGACCTATTCCCTGAAAACTACAAGACACTCATGAGATAAATTAAAGAAGACACTAATAAAGGAAATATATCCTGTGGTCATGGATCGGAAGAATTAATATTGCCAAAATGGCCATCCTACCTAAAGCAACTACAGATGCAATGCAATCCCTATCAAAATAGTTACAGCATTCCTCTACAAACTGGAACAGTTCTAAAATTCATATGGAACCACAGAAGACCCCGAATAGCCAAAGCAATCCTGAGAAGGAAGAGTAAAGCTGGGGGGATTATGCTCTGCTACTTCAAGCTCTACTACAGACAGAGTAATCAAGACAATTTGGTACTGGCACAAAAACAGACTCATAGATCAACATGGAACAGAATAGAGAGTCCAGATATAAACCCAAGCATATATGGTCAATTAATATACAATAAAGGAGCCAATGGATATACAGTGGGGAAAAACAGTCTCCTCAACAACTGGTGTTGGTAAAAGTGGACAGCTACATGTAAGACAATGAAACTGGACTATTGTCTAAGTCCATACACAAAACTAAACTTGAAATGGATCAAAGACCTGAATGTAAGTCATGAAACCTTAAAACTCTTAGAACAAACCATAGGCAAAATTCTCTTGAATATTAACATGAGCAACTGTTTTCTGAACACATCTCCTCAGGCAAGGGAAACAAAAGCAGAAATGAATAAACGGGACTACATCAAACTAAAAAGCTTCTGTATAGCAAAGGACACCATCAGTAGAACGAAAAGGCATCTTAACAGTATGGGAGAATATATTCATAAGTGACATATCCAAAAAGGGGTTAACATCCAAAATAGATAAAGGACTCACATGCCTCAATGCCCAAAAAGCAAATAATCTGATGAAAACCTGAGGGGAGGATATAAAAAGACCATTGTCCAAAGAAGAAATTCAGATGGCCAAAAGGCACATGAAAAGATGCTCCACATCGCTAATATTCAGGGAAATGCAAATTAAAATCACAATGAGATATCACCTCACCACAGCTAGGATGTCCAACATCCAAAAGACAAGGAACAACAAATGCTGGTGAGGATGTGGAGAAAGGGGAAACCTCTTGCACTGCTGGTGAGAATGTAAATTAATTCAACCACTGTGGAAAGCAATATGGAGGTTTCTCAAAAACTAAAAAACAGAAATACCATTTGACCCAGGAATTTCACTCCTAGGAATTTACCCAAAGAAAACAAGATCCCAGATTCAAAAAGACATATGCACCCCTATGTTTATTGTCACAGTATTTGCAATAGTCAAGTAATGGAAGCCATCTTAGTGTCCATCAGTAGATGAATACATAAAGAAGAGGTGGTACATACACACAATGGAATATTATTTAGCCATAAGGAGAAAACAAATCCTACCATTTGCAGCATGGATAGAGCTAAGAGGGTATTATGCTCAGTGAAACAAGCCAGGTGGAGAAAGACATGTACCAAATGATTTCACTCATTTGTGAAGTATAACAACAAAGCAAAACTGAAGGAACAAAACAGCAGCAAATTCAGACTCCAAGAAGGGACTAGCAGTTACCAAAGGGGAGGGGTTGGGGAGAGCGGGTGGGGAGGAAGGGAGAAGGGGATTGAGGGGCATTATGATTGGCACACTTAGTGTATGTGTGGGGTTCCACAGGGAAGACAGTGTAGCACAGAGAAGATGAGTAGTGACTGTATAGCATCTCACTACACTGATGGACAGTGACGGCAGTAGGTATGGGTGGGACTCGATGATATGTGTGAATACAGTAACCATAATATTGCTTATACTGATTGGTACATAATCAATATACATAATTGATTGTATATCAGTGATACCTTAATAAAAAAAGATTTTTAAGTTGTAAGCAGTATTAAAACTTTTTAATCCAAACTGAGAAGTAAATTCCATTTAAATATAAACAAAATAAGCCAGGGAAGCAAAATAGTAATAACCTAAACTACCTAAGTTGGAGATAAAATATTCTAACATTCCTCAAATTATAGTGCATTACAGAATAAATTCTTCAGGGTGGTCATTCAATAGAGTAAACTTGAAAGAATAATGATACGTAAAAGTAGTCACAAAAAATGAACATTTATGTGAAAATATACTATTATTTATCATTATGTTTTATTTTCTGCTATGGAACTGTGAAAAGTCCATTCTTTGAGTAATGAGGAAAGAAACTTAGAGATTAGAGGCTGGGTATAAGATGAGACAGACAGTTAACAAACTAGGGAATTGTCAGAATCCGTGGGTACAGAAAAAGGTGAAAATGTTTTAGAGCAGAGACAGTCTAGTGTTGCTGAAAAGGGAGTCTTAGGTTTATGAACAACTGTGCTTGTGGGGAATTTATTAGGAGGGGAGAGAAAGGGTGCTAGGTAGTTTAGTTGGGTACAAAAGCAGTTTGCTGTCATATCCCATTCTCTAAACCTTTCTCCTTTGTCCATCTGACACAGAAGAGCTTTTACTAAGTTGCGTTTTTGTGGTATGCACTAAGTTTTCATCAAAGAATGCAACAAGAAAAAATCTAATAAAATACCACTGCTAATTGTTATAAAGCTGTTGTTAAAAACCCTCACATATCCTACGTAAGGCCGTTTGTAACATCACCACTATTAAAGTCCTTAGAAGAAATTTAATTTGTACTTAATTGCTCTGAAAAGCTTTACTTCCTCTGAGAATATGAAATGCTTTTCCCCTTACATTAAAAAAGAACTATATAGCTGATTATTTGCAGCTTAGCCACTTAAAGTATTGGAATCACTACATACAACCTACATATCTACATTCTACTATTTTTCTCCATCCTTTAATTTTTTTCCCCAATTATTGTTCCTTGGTCCTGATTTTTAATTAAAAACATTTTTAATTTATACTTTACTATGAAAGTATTTCTATATTTCTTGTAAAGTGTTTCAAATCACTTATGGAATGAGTTTGTATTAATAAATAAGTGACAAAGAGTTGTATTACAAACTTCAGAAAAGAATGATATGGAACCTGCTTTAAATGCTTTGCTTCTCTACAAACCATGGGCGCTGAGAGCACTGCCTTGACCAATGGAATTTTGTGTGGATAAGGAGTGGGCACTGGAATGTACCATAAACACTGGATCTCCTTAAGATTTTTCTCAACAAACAGACTCACTATCAGCTCTTAATCTTTATACTCCATAAGGTCAGAACATTTTAAGTCTCATTCTCTATTGTCATTCAGTTGTTAGAATTGTCAAACTCATTCAGTTGTTAGTACTTTCAAAAGATTCTCTTACATTTTATTTTTTAAAGTCTGTATCCTTAAAAATCACTTCAATACAAAATGGCTTTCCTGTGTAAGGAGAATTTCATTTGGAAAAAAAAATACAGTTCCCTTTTTGGTACATACGATTCTTGCTGCAGACATGTTGCATGGCCCAAACTGCCCACAGCTGGACTCCTGGTGTTGTGAAACAGCCAAGTAGTGGGAAAAAGGGATTGAAGGACCTAAAAGTTCAAAACAAAAGAATGAACTTTGTATCTTTTACCTACTGTCATTTCTAAACTTATGATTCTTGAGGTTTTAATTCTAGAAATTTCATCTTATCATTTTTAAACTAATATAAATGAGCTAGAGAACATCTTTTCTTTATCTCAGCCAAGGATCAGATTCAGACAGAAGTCTTGGTACAGAAGATAGAAGGTGATCAGAAAAGGCACTAAAAAAGCAAAATATTTTTTTCAAAACTACTTTTTTTGGCCTTGCAGATATCTATTTGAAGAATAGCAGACCTTGGTTTGGAAACTTAGAAAAGGAGTAGTTACTTGATAATTAATTTGGTGGAACACCATGAAGGTCTAGAATTAGCCTTTCTATTTCTATTGCTCTTCTGTGCAAAAATGGCTAGAACGTAAGTTGGAGGAATCAAAAACGTTGGCAGAGTCAGCATTTATGAAATAGATAACAAAAGTAAAGTGTAACAATAATATTTATGCAGCAATTTGGAATACTTCAGGTAATTAGTAACTCAGCTATCAAGTCACCAAAATATCATAAAAGTTAGGCATCCATATGCATTTTAATAAATTAAACTGTTTCCCCAAACTAATCTGGTGCTACTTCTAATTCTTTCAGTGGATCATCTTGTTTTAGACCTCCTTGCATTAATTCACTTTACTCCTCTTAAAATCTTCTGCTCCTATTCAATTATCTCTCAAAAATCAGCTCACAATTCACTTCCTCTGAAAGCTTTTTACCATTTCCTAGTTCAGATTTAAGTACTCTGGTCTTTAATTTCTATTCTATACACATAACTTTCATTCTATACACATAACTAGCTTAATAGTTAATTATATCTGATTCACAATCAGTCTCCCTTCCTAGGCTGTGTGGTACCATGTCTCTCACTCATCTTTGAATTTCAAGAACATTGTCTTCAATAAATGTGGAATGAAGAAAGGACTGATGAAGGATAGGTAGGAGAAAAAAGTAAAAATACTTTGCATCTTTTAAAATCAGTAGATAGATAATGCTTCAGGGAAAAACCATACATACAGTAGGAATGATCTTTAGGCAAGCAAAATGACTAGGTTACTGGCTTAATATTAATTATCTTGCTAATTACCTGTATGCTACCATCTCACACTCTGGAGTTGGCCATTTCAAAATAGCTGAATGCTGCAAGACACAAGACACACAAGAAAGGATGATAATACTTACTTAGCATAGCATTATTGCATTATGAGGCTTTGGTACTTTAATCATTATGAATATTGTTTGTATGCTTTCAGAAAACATCAAATGACCCTACCAAATCATCCAGAAGAGAATTCCTCTGGCTACGGCTCAATGTCCAAGCTTGTTCACCTCTAGATATTAAATGCGCGATAATTCCAGCTGCAAAATAGCTGACTTCCACTTCAACACTATGTAGGAGGCTACTGATGTGGTCTATAAAATCTTTCCACATTAATTCAGAATGTAATTCTTGTACTTCAGCTATATTGTTCTGGGAAAAAAGAAGATACAAAAATTAAAGGAACATGTACAGTAAATAGTTAAATGACTCTTTGTATTCCAAGAAAGAACAGAAATTGTAATGATTCAAACATGAATCTGCATATGGACAAAAGGTGATGACAGTACAATTATGGGTGTTTTTCTTTCCTCTCCAAACAATAAAATAATAAAGAAACAGTAGTGAGTTCCTTTTCAGGCAAAATGGCAAATTAGATAACCTAAAAATTCCCCACTATAAAATATCTAGAAGTGCTGGGTGAAAAAGCTAACAACCTTTAAATACATAACTTTACATGCTGGGATAAAAAGCAAAAACACAGAACCCAACTGGAGTGGTAACAGGCTATCACTGATCTGCATGGGTAAGAGAACTAGGTTTTAATAGCCATGCAAGGAGAGAAGGTAAGGGCTGGAAACTGGAACTAAGACTTCACATACAAGCAAAGGACTTCCAAAGCACTATACCTCAATAAAAGAGTAGACTGACATAGATAAATGAAGATGACACTTATTGTAATCTGGGCTCTGGCCCCAAAGGAAAAGTCTTCCCTTGTAATTTATAACCAGGGGCCTGCCCTCAGGCAAGATTGTATAGTTTGGATTTACAAATAGATGCTTTTTTTTGTCTTCATCTTTCTTAGGCTGTCCACATTATTCAGAACTGCTAATTCCTTCATCCTTTTGATACCTGTGATATAATGAGTCATAAGAAATATATATTTGGTCACACACATGACCAAATATATTTCTCAGGTATATTTGGTCTTCATCCACAGTTCCTGGAAACACCGCAGTCTTAAAGGTGAAATGGGTGTTTTGTCATGTTAATGAAAGACTTTTCCACCCACCCCCACCCCCAACCAAGGGCAGAGGCTGGAGGTTGGTTCAGCCAATTGCCAATAATTTAGTCAACCATGACTGTGCAATGAAGCTCTCACAAAACCCCCTAAGAAGACCTTACCTTCTTGGATCCTGTTTCTCAGTCAGGGAGTGCTTTTATGCTTGGGGAACCAGAACAGTCCTACATGCCACGGAGCCAGGCCCGATGCTCCACAAGGATACAAGCTCCTTTATTTGGGACCTTACCCTATGTATCTCTTCATCTGGCTGTTAACCTGTACCCTTTAGAGTATCCTTTATTAAACATAAACATAAACATAAATATTTTCCTGAGTTGTGTGAGCCACTCTAGCAAATTAATCGGACCTAATGAGGTCGCTGGAACCTCCAATCTGAAGCCGGTAGGTCAGAAGCACAGGTAACACCCTGGGGCTTGCAAACAGCATCTGGAGTGGGGTGGAGGGCAGTCTTGTAGGACGGAGCTCTTATCCTGGGGAATCTGGTGCTTTCTCCAGGCAGATAGCATTAGAATTGAGCTGAGTTCTTCAACATCCTGCTGGTATTTGAGAATTGCTTGGTGTTATGTGTGGGACGACCCCCTCCCATATACTTACACACACTGGAATCAGGTCTAGGAAGCCAAATGGAGTTATAATACTATTACTGCTGTGTATAATATTGTTATTGTTATATATGTATGTAGGAAAAGGCAACATAGCAATACCCTTACCTCTATCTGATTTATAGGTATCAAAATTTCCTGGGCTTCCTCCTATCTCTCTTATTGTTGCTTCTCAGCTTTGAGTTTTTCTAGACCACACAGATGGTGTAAATCTGAACCACTCTCATGCACAAGAGCGGGCCTCTGGTTATAAATTAGAAGGGAATTCTTTTCTTTTTGGGCCAGAGCCCAGATTACAATAGCCTTCTTCTTCATGTATCTATCAGTCTACTCTTTTATTGAGGTATAATGTTTTGAAAGTTTCTTGCCTTATATGCAGTCTTAGTTCTGGT